GTCTAGTATAGAGCTGACACATTAGAGAAGGAGTACATACGACTTAAAGTGGAAACGACTTATAACCGTGCAATGGAATATGCAAGCATGCAAGCATGCTATTTAAGGTGGCAGTGAATAAAATTAAAATAGCTATGATGGTAACCAACGTTCTGAAAGGACATGGTACATAAAGAAGAAGAATGGAATATGCAAAAGAATACTCGAACACATACGAAAAAATATTAAATCTTCATTACAATCATGGACACTTCATAGATATTATAAAACCTGGACAAATAGAGTCAATCATTTCAAATGCTACAAGGTTCCTTCCACAAGGAGTAGATATAAGAAGGCAGCCAATAATAGATACAGTCGTACAAAATGAAAAAGGAGACATCGTCATTATTTGCTATTTCCCAATAATTGACAACACTAGATACAACCTACTGAGAGTCACAGCTCTTCCATTGTCGGTGAGAGGTGGTGTTGTGCGCTCGTTGTTGGTCCCAAGGAATCTACTTGCAGTAGATTACAATAACTTACATTATTTTGAAGTGACATATGAAGATAAAGGAAGGTGTATAGAATTAAACAAAGGAGAGTTGGCATGTTCACCAATGGGAATCATTAATATGGATACTCAGCCAAACTGTGTCATAAATAAATTAAGTATATGATAGAAATACCCATACCACTTGCAATATAATAGAATACACGATAAAGGAAGCCAGTTGGTTGAAAATGAGCACACCGAATCTGTGGTTAGTCATTCCACCATACGCTATAAATTTAGCTATAATGTGCGATGGTTCTCGATCTGAACATATAATCGATCACGCGAGTTTTATAAAACTGTCACCAAATGCGTTGCTCAGACTCAAAACATAACATTACTCACATCCAGTAACGGATTGGAAACAGCAATTGGAAGCTACTTAAAGACTCCCGTCAGTCCCATTGAGGAACTTACGCAGAGGCTAATCATAAGGCAGAACAACATTCCCAAACATAATATAGATATTCGGGGAGATGAGTTGCCAAATATTGTACTTGAGGCAGAGCAGTTTGACCAAGATATATCAGAACACACGTGGAAAACCATTGCTAACCATCAGTGGAATTCTCATTTCCCCACGGGACTAGTCACTTTATTCATTGTTATGTTGAATGCCATTACATAGAAGGTAGTCAGATATTTTCGAAACTCCAAGAAAGCCAGAAAACAAAGGCATTAAGGTTCTTGCATCCAACCTCATCCAGCGCCTCGAAGACATACTTCATCACAACCAAATGAGGTAGTACTTTAAAGAAAGCCCCCAGTAGATCAGTTTCACTTAATGAGTAAAGTTAAACAATTGGGTATATCATACAAAAATTAAATTATAAGACAATAAATAAATAAATATTGCTGTCAAAAAAAAACACAATCCTATAAATAAAATAAAGCGATATCAAGTTTATTTTTAAATATGGAGACACTAGTTGCCGATATGTCTTGATCCAAATTGTTCCAGATATTAAAGATTCTGTTATTAATGATATGTTAGGACTGCGGATTGATGGGGAAGAACTTGTACAAGACCAGAGGGTTTTTTCTGACCAACTCAAGAAACACTTCCTATTGAGACAGCCATCGTACTGAAACCATCTTCCTCTTAACGTGCCCTATCAATTCCCCTTGACGTTGGCGATTAACATGGCGAAACTGTCTCTGTCTCGAGCTATTCTAAATAGTTGCTCAGCTTTCTTTATTCCTGTCCACTCCCTGATATTCTTCAACCAAGAGGCCTGCTTTCTACCAATTTGTTTGTTTGTTTGTTTGTTTGTTTATTTAACGGGATGAACCCTTTTTCTTTACAAAAATTACAATATACACATATAATTAACATATAAACTGTAGTCATATATTACAATTTTAAAAAGTATTAATAACATTAATGTCTCAATTTCTTTAAACTATTCTTGAACGAGGACACGGATAAATTAAACAATTCAACACTATCTTGCAAATTATTGACAGTTCTCAACATCCTTGTGATTGACTCACTTTTACCATAATTATTGTGATGAAACTTTGCACTCTGCGTCCTTCGATTTTACCCATCATAATAAGTTGAAGAATATTATATCGGTCCTCCCCTTACTACGTGTCCAAAATAGGCCATCTTTCTACATTTGATTTTATCAACCAGCTCGCGAGCAGCATTTGCTCTTTCAAGGACTGCCACATTTGTCAGCATGGCCGTCCATGGAATTTTTAGTATACGTCTGTGCAGCCACATCTCAAAGGCCTCCAGACGATTATTCGTGGATATTTTTAATGTCCATGCTTCGACACCGTATAAGAGGACTGACCAAATGTAGCATTTAACCATGCGCTTTCGAAGTTGAAGTTGCAAGTTATCATTACAGAAGAATGACATCATTTTTAAAAATGTCGTGCGGGCTATCTCGATTCTACATTTTATCTCTTGATCTGGATCTAGTTGTTCAGTAATATGGCAACCAAGATATTTAAAACTGGACACTCTTTGAATTATATGACCATCAACATATAATCGTGCATCTTGATGTGCTAAACGGCTAAACACCATGTGTTTTTGTTTTTGAACAGTTTATGTTTAGGCCAAACTCTCTTCCCACTTTATCAATGGCATTTAAAAGGCATTGTAATCCATTCATGTCATCACTTAAAATAACTGTATCGTCTGCATATCTGATTGTATTCATAATCAGAATTCCATTAACTTTCACGCCCCATTCCAAATTATGCAGCGCTTCTTTAAATATTCTATCTGAATATAAATTAAATAACAGTGGGGATAGTATACAACCCTGTCTGAAACCTCTTTGTATTTTACATATTTCTGTTGATTTTCCGTTTATGCAAGCTGTCGCTGTTTGACGCCAGTATAACTTTTCTATGAATCGTATGTCTTGACTATCAACTCCTTTATCTTTTAATATTGTAATTAATTTGTGATGCTGTACTCGATCAAAGGCCTTTTAATAGTCAATAAATACAGCAAAGACGTCTTTCCTTTGATCTCGACATTTCTGCAGCAATACATTTAGTGCAAAGAGGGCGTCCCGAGTTCCCAGTCCATTTCTGAAGCCAAATTGTGTTTCATCCTGATCTTCTTCACATTTATCTCTGATTCTACTGTGGATGATGCCTAGAAATATTTTCAAAGTGTGGCTCATAAGGCTTATCATTCTATAATCTCTACAGTTTTTCGGACGTTGTTTTTTGGTAGTGTTATAAATTTGGACTTTAACCAATCTTCAGGGATATCACCAGTCAAATAAACATCATTGAAAAGTTTGACCAGTATTCCAAAGTTCTCCTCATTTATAAGCTTTAACATCTCTGTCGGTATGTTATCAGGGCCAACGGCTTTCTTGTTCTTTGCTAACTTTATAGCATGCAGCAGTATTTTCTGGTCCTTCACCTTCAACTAAAGTCTCCGGTTCTTTGGGTCTATCATCATTATACAGTTCACTTATATAATTACACCAGGTTGTTCGAATTTCATGTTCATCTATTATCATTTTCCCGACGAATCGGTTATAGTATGTGGAATTTTTTTATGATAAAGACCAGCTACTTCTCTAACTTTTTTAAACATATTAAACGTATCATGTTTTTCATTCAACTTTTCTAATTCCTTGCATTTATCCTCTATCCATTTTTCTTTAGCCACCATTATTTTTTGTTTAATTAGTTTCTGTTTTTCTTTATATTCTGTCTTGTTACCTTTCAGTTTCCTTCTCTGCTCCATTAATTCCAGGATTTCATCAGTCATCCATTGTTGTTTTTGGTACCTGTGTAACGTTGTTGAATATTTTTCTATTACTTTCAAGGTAAGATCTTTAAATGTGTTTCATATTTCTGTGTTGTTTTCATTTATTGATTTCTTTAGCTCATTGTTTAAGTCATTTTCTATTAACGTTTTGTTGGATATTGAGATATTTAATTTTGGTGTTTTGGGGCTTTCTTGACTTTTTTGAGCTTCACTTTGATGTCAGTTATTACAGGGTTATGGTCTGAACCGATATCTGCACCAGGATATGTCGTTACTCTGGTGACGCCATTCTTAAATCTCTTGTTTACCAGAATATATTCTGATTTCTAATCATATGTAGTGAATTATCTCCTGGTCCCTTCCTTGTGTATAACCTTCTTTTGTGTAATTTGAACCATGTATTTGCGATTATCATGTCATGTTCTTGACAAAACTGGTATAATGCTAGTCTGTCGTTCACTAATATGAAATTTTTCACATATTTTTTTTAAATTTAGACGTTATAATTAAGCCAACTCCATTCCTAGGATGTGTGTCATCTTCTGCACTTCCAGAATAGTATAGTGTGCCTTCATCTTGTTCACATATTCCCGTTCCAGGCCACCGGAGCTCACTGATGCCCATTATATCAATTTTTAAACGTTTAACCTCTTGAACTAAGTTACTGAGCTTGATTGCTGCATAGAGGCTTTTAACGTTTCAGGTACCTAATCTGATTGTACTGCTAGACATTTTTAAAGTTGTCGTACTTCTAAAATTGTAGGGATTTCGTGTGATGACGACCGTGGAGGCCCTACAGTCTGGTGCGCGCCCTTTCCTGCCGGATCTTGGTTTCCGTAATCCATGATCAGTAATACTTCCGTTACGATTGTATTGAGCAATGTTAACTTTACTCGGGAGAAATAATTGGGGTGGTTTCCCGTTGCCTTCCCTAATGATTTTTCTGACGCAATAGGTTACTGAAACCATATCAAGTGTATTTTGCGTTTTTCTTCCATTATTATTCCAACTTCATTTAAACAGCGACCTCTAAATTTTACACAAAACAACATCAATATTTTTTTGGATTCTTCTCCGTGGCTCCTCAGAATTGCAGATGTCTGAGAACTTCAGAACACACCTTCTTTTTAAATCTTTTAAGGGATAGAATTTCTAGAATCTAGAATATTAGGATATTTTTGGTTATATGTTGTAATGAAATAAATCCTTACTATTTAAAAATAAATATATTTTACAAAAGTTTAAAACATTATTAATTATAAAGTATTTCCAAGGCCGTAGTGTACATGGATGGCAGTAATGCGTCGCATATATTCAAAATTATTTTGATGACATACTAAAGACTCACTCGGTCTAAACATGTGTATAAATTTTATAAATTTTTTAGCATATGCTGAAAATTTTAATGGTCTTCGAAGGTTAGTCTAATTGTTTCAGAAGTTTATACAAAAAAGGTTATTCAATAAAATCGTTTTAATTGCAGCCTTGGATGGAAATATTTGCATTGACCTTAACTGTCAGTTTTGATAAAACAATCGTCCAAAAAACTTTCTAAAGTATGATAGAGATGTGGACGGACGGATCCTAGGCTGTGGTCTTCATCAGGATAACTCTAAAAAAATAACACACCAGTAAAAATCAATTATCATTACATTCATTTAATAATTATTTAAATAGTTTTCACATACATAGTACATAAAAATTATCAGTAAATTTTTCACTTATTGGTCTTGGTTTTGGTAGTGTGACCTCGCTGTTTCCCTTACTTTTCTTCATTCTCCTCTCTCTTTGATTGTCCTTTTTATATATTTCTAATTCCCATACTCTTTAAGTTTTCTTCTACTTGTTGTCTCCATCTAAGTTTAGGTTTGCCTCTGGTTCTTTTATCTGGTGGTATCCATTCTGTTAAAACTCTTAATGGATTGCTCTTCTCTTTTCTCATTATGTGTCCATACTATCTAATTCTTTGTGCTTTTATTGCTTTAGCTAAGTTTTCTTGGCCCTTCCGTTCTTGTATTTCGTAATTCATCCATTATCTTGTATCCTCCTCGATTTCCCTCTTTGTGTTTCGGCTGATCTTTTATCTCTAAACATATTTGTATTTCTTTAAAACGCTATATATCCCGTTTAAAGTCTTCTTTTTATATCTACCCTTTCATTTCTTTTGTTGATAGTAATTCCAAATATTTGAATTATTTCATCCTCTTCGAAATTGTATACATCTATTGTCAATTCTGTCATTTGTGTCTTCTTTTTCTTGCTTACGTTCATGTATTTTTCGCATCGTTTTCTTGGAACGTTTGCTTTAATGCCTTTTTATCTGTTGTTATGGTTATAACGTCCGCATATCCTATTATTTGTACTGCATTCTTGTTTATAGTACCTGCGTTTGGCAGCTTTTTTATTATCTTATCTAGTGATAAAATAAATATTACCGTTGAGAGCGCCTCTCCATTTTTTTATTATCTCTTTTCTTTCTCTTCCGGTGTCTATTATTGCTTGGGAATCTCGTGTTGTCTTTTCTATCATTTTTATAATTTCTTCTTCCTCCTTCTTGTCGGTAGGCTTTAAAGCCTGTTTCTTCTTCAATATTAGCCTCCTAAATTTTTTAAATGATCGCATTATCTTGTCCTTGGTCTGCCAATATTTCTTCGTCCATTTGGTCCCTTATTTCGTGCTATTCGTACTATCCTATACTCTACTGTCATTTATATTGCCTGCTCTTCTTATGTTTACAGTATTAAGTATTTTCATCTCTGTTGTTTCTTGTAGTCGTTTCGTTTTAGATGCGTCAGGTCTTGTCTTCTCCTTGTATGTATGTTAATATAGGTCTAATTGCTGCTTAATGTATTATTGTTTTTGTGTTTTGTCTTAGGTGATTGTTCTTCCAGATTGTGCCATTAAGAGATCCCGCAGCTTTACTTGCTTTTAAGCTTTGTTGTCGTACTTTTTTTCAAGATCTCCGTAAGTAGTTATGTATATTCCCAGATATCTAAACCTTGCTTCCTGCTTTATTATTTTTCCATCAATTTATCTTTGCCTGTATTTGATTATGGAAGTACTTGTTTTCGATGGTTGAAAGCCTTTGTCATTTCTAGAAAACATATATATGCTGGTTTATTGTACTCGATGGCTTTTTCTGTGATTTGTCTTAGTACAAATATGGCGTCAACGCAGGATCCGCCGGATCTGAATCCTTGTTGTTCATTTGAAAAGTTGTTATTTTATTGATTTTCTTGGTCAGGACTTTGGTGGTAAGCTTAAGTGCGATGTTCAGTAGATTTATACCTCTATAATTGTTAAGGTCTTCTGTATCTGCTTTTTTGAACATTCGTATAATTATGCTGATTCTTTATGCGTCTTGCGTCTTTATGTATCTTGCAGTGCAATATTGGTTTTTGTTTTGTCATATCTAAAGTGATATTTTCTCCTCCGTGTTTTAGAAGCTCGTTATTTATTCCGTCTACTCCTAGTGACATTCTATTTTTGAGTGAAGTTATAGCTATCTCTACTTCCTGAAAACTGATTTCTATTTGGTGTCTTAATTCAGGTACTTTATAGTGTTGATTATTATTTTCCTTTCCTTTAAACAGTTCCGTCAGGTATCTTTCCCATGCGTTTGCTGGTATGTTCTTGTATTCCATCAATTCTGCCATTTCTTTTTGTTGGTTTATTACGAATCTTCATATTTGTTTTTGGCTTTACTGGTATATTACTCTCTTGTAAGTCTTGGATCATTTTTCTTTTACTTAGTTTATCAAATGCTTGTTTAAAGTCAAGGAAAAGTATATATGTTTCTCCGTCGTACTCGTACGTTTTCTCTATCACTTGTTTTGCCTATGCTTTGTTCTGTATATATTGTTAGTCTGTCTCTAATTATTCTAATCATTTTTTTATATGTTACATTCAGTAAGTTAATTGCTCGGTAGTTTTTGCATATTCTATGGTCTTCTTGTTTTGGGATTGTTATTATAATTCCCTTCTTCCATTCGTCGGGTATTATTTCTTTGCTGCATATATATATTCTGTATAAGTTTTAAATCTGTCTGAATGGTGCCTCAATAGCGTATTTTGTAGGTTCTGCACATATTCCGTCTTCTCCCGCTGTTTTCCCGTTTATAAGTTGCATATTTTTTCTTTGACATCTGTATAGGTCAATTCTTCTTCTTCATCAACTTGTTCTGTGTTCGGTGTTGTTTCTCTTTCTTCTTCTCTGTGGACGGCCGTAGTTCAGCGGCAAGATACTGGCTTTGTAAGCCAGAATTCGAATCTCGGCACCAACAACGACATTTTTATTTCTAAAAATGATACGAGCCTTTCATTTTTAGATAACCAATTGGCGCCGGAACAATCTGGAAGGATCTCCCCGGCAAAAAAAGCCATGCGATATTATTATTATTTCTCCTTCTCTATCCGTTTCTTGATATATCTCTTCGAAATACTTCTGACATTCTTCTGCTTCTATACCCATATAAGCTGTACGTTTTCGGTTACCTAGTTTTAAGTATTGGTGCACTGGCTCAATACAAAGATCCAGTTGACTGAATGATAAGTCCAAAAAACACTATAGGTATTTAAACAGTTTTAAAATAGATGCACTTACTTGTTGCCTAAATAAAACATCATTAAATTCAAGTATTTTTGACCATAACATTGATTGTTGATAATGAACGTTATCGTCGTGAGTTCCATGTATCAGAAAATACTTCTTGTTTCTTATGCCTTCGTAGTTACGAAGCAATTGTGCCTTTTGGTAGCCTTCGAGATTATCGGAGGGTGTCGGCAGGCCCATGTATCTTTCAGTGTAAATTGAATCTGTAATATACAATAATAGTTGCTAAATGTTAAAAGTCAAACTGAAAGTTTATCCAATAAACATAAATATATATTAATGCAGATATTTGCAAAAATGAAGGAGTAATTTTGTCATAGCTATAGTCAATATAATTATGGGATATTTAAATACGAATGTTGCAAATGAAGAAATAGATAATACAGGGGACAGAGTATTAGATTTTCTTATACGATAAATAACTTCCAAACACTTGCATTTCAAAATCTTTAACAAACTATAAACGGTATAACAGTGAATTTAACAGTGAACGGAGAAATTCCAAACTGTAGCTGAATATTTCTCTTAAAAGAAACACAATGTTCTAGCTGACTTCTATTTTTAAAGTGATTTAGGACCCTTTTATACAGCGCTAATATCGTCGCGTTAGCAGCGCCGCGTTAGCGTCGATTCAACCGGATAATTCTCTCTGATATATTTTTTCAACCAGACACTCCTCTAAGCTTTACCAACGAAGTTAAACACCATATGAAAACCAAAGATGAAGAGCCAGTATATAGAAACGAAATCATACCGGTACCCATATGTACATAAGAAAGAAGTAAAGAAACAAATATCTTCAATGTTAGATCAAGGCATCATTAGACCGAGCCTATCACCATAGACGTCACCGATATGGATCATGCCAAAAAAAAAAAAGATTCCTCTGGTAAAATAAAGTAGAGAATAGTCATAGTAGATTATAGGAAGGTCAACGAGAAAACAATAGAAGACAGATATTAGATTCCTTCCATCGACAAATTGGGACGATGTCAGTAAACAACATTTAATGTGAAAAATAGACACTATGAATATGTAAGATTACCATTTTTGTAATTAGCATCGTTTTTTTATCTTTTATAGTTTTCTATACTTTTTTATCGTTTATAGTAATTCCCATCTCAGCACTATTCATACTTAAGCTTTCTATAATATGTTCTAGATCCTCTATACTCGTTGCTATGATCACAGTGTCGTCTGCACATCGTAAGTTGTTAATTAATTTTCCGTTAACGGTAACTCCAGCTTTAATATTATTAGCGTGTTTTGGAAAATTTCTTCAGAATATAAGTTAAACAAAAGTGGCGATAAAACACATCCCTGTCTAACTTCTCTACAGATCTTCATTTCTTCTGAGTGTTGCCCATTAACTTGAAATATGGCACTTTGATTCCAATATAATGTTTGCACTATATTTATGATTTTACTGTCAATGCGCTTGTTCATAAGTATTTATATTAGTTTTTCAGGTCTTACTTTATCGAAAGCTTTTTCGTAGTTAACAAAGCGCAAGTGTAGATCAACGTTTACATCCCGACATCGCTGAATCAATATGTTGATGGTAAATAGCCTTTCTTGAGCACCCATTCCATTTCGGAACCAGAACTGCGTGTCGCTAATATCCCCCTCTAGCCTTTCGTATATTCTCTTATGCATTACTTTCAGCAGTACTTTTAAAGTATGACTCATGAGGTTCAGTTTTCGATAATCAGAGCACTCTTTTGCTGCTTATTTTTTAGGGATGGTTATAAATGCTGACTTAAGTCACTTTTGTGGTATTATTCCCGTATCGTACACAGTGTTGGATAAATCTGCCAATTCTTTCCAAGTTTATCTAATCTAATCCAGCTGCCTTATTATCTATAGAGTTTTTGATAGCATATTTGATTTCGTCTATCGTGACCTTCTGTCTCTCTAAAGGATTTAATTCTTGTATTTTCTGCATTTCACCTATTTCATCTTGGAAAATTTCTCTAACGTACTCCTCCCATCGTCTTAATTTCTTTAGTACATCTATTAGTAGTACTCCTTTTTGGTCTTTTATGTGTCCTTGCTATCTAGTTTGACCCATTTCAGTCACTTCTCTTATTTTTTTTGTGCATATATCTCATATCATATTTATTTTCTAATTTTTTTATCTCTTTCCTTTGTTTCATCAAATAGATTTTCTCAGCTGTTTGATTTTTCGTTAATTAATCATTGTATTTCTTTATACTTCTGTAGATCTTTTCCTTTATATTTCCTTCTTTCTTCCATCTGTAATAGTATTTCTTCTGCCATCCACTGTATTTTAGCCTCTGTCCTGAGTTGTATCAAACTTTCTTGAGCTGGTTTCAGTAATGTGTTTTTTTATTATACCACTTTTTATTTAATCCATAATTTGTTTGTTGTCAGTTTGTAACCGTTTCAAAAGTTTTAGAAAGTTCATTATAAATTTGATTATTTTTTTTTAAATAAAACTACTAACCCCACCTATCTGCCACGTGCTTGTATTCGACTCAAGGTTTCTACAGTAATTCTCAACATATCCGATAGGTGAGAACGATATGAACTTGTCAATCACGCCCCCAATTCAAAACCGTTGAAATAGCGTCGCTTCCTTTTCTGTTACAAACGTCCACCCGATAGGACGTGTTTTCGAAGTGAGTCTCTAGGTTAGAGGTAAGCTACAAAGAAAAGCCTTTTCTTGTCTATATTTCAGATGAATAATTATTTTCAGATTCTTTCCGGGAGGTTAAAGTTCATTGATTATGTTAAGTTAACTGAGACAGTTTCCTATGGTCCAATACTTCCCTATATATGGTTTCCAATAATTACTTATAATATAAATGGATTCTTATTAGTAAATATTTGATGAAATAACCAACGGATGAGAAGAAGCAGAGTATATCCCTTTTTTCCTGGTTCCCAGAGATTGGATAAATAAGGTTGTACCTATTTTTTTATTAAGCCCTATCAGGAACGCGAGAATTATTTATGGATTCACAGAGACAAGAATATAGTGAAATATTTTAATTTTGTTTAAAGTTTTGACTTAATATGTTTAGTTACTAATTAACTACTAAAATGCTTTAAATGTAAACAAATTTCGAAATTTGGGAAAGAAATATAGTTTCATTTATTTTTAATAACCAATTCTTGATTTAATACGATATGAAGTTGTTTAGTTTGTAGTAAAGTCAATATGAAGTACTATGTTAGTATCTTTTGGGAATAATATAGTTTTTAATGTTTCTTTTTATTACTGAATTTTAATTTTTTTTATCCTCGTCCCCTGCGAGTTGAAAATATAGGGGTGGCGTCCAATGATAAATTATAATTTCATGTTATCTAATTGTGTTTGAAATTTTGACGTACTACGTAGTTTTTTTTCGTGCATTTGACCTTACCACACCTTCTCTCCGACATAGAGCTAACCTGACCTTGAATTAAATGTGTGTACTAGATGTTATCAAATATCGACGTTACAAGTTAGTGTTTTTTTTGCATATTAACATTCACATTATTTTTTAATTTGTTTTTTATTTCTTCGTTTTTTAGCATGCTTACATTAATTTCTTGGTGAGTTTGGTGTTTTCTGAGTTCAATTCTTTTTAATTTTATTTTCACGTCAACGTAACTACTGTCACATATAACTTGCAAATTATGTGCCCTGCTTTCCACAGCATTAGCGCTCGTATACTAATTATACGAATTTATTCGAATGTTATGTTTTCCAGATGTAATTGACTTAATTTTTTACCACTGCGCTGAAGCGTTTGTGGCTATTAAAAATCTGTAGTGCAATTTTACATCGAATTCTTTTTTAAGAACTTGATTTACCAGAAGATCTATGCAAATTAACTAAACTTCAATACGGACCACACTATTACAATTAACATTATAAGATTATACAAACGCAAAAGCTTACCATAAAGAGTCCAATCAGTTACAGGAGCCACTGATATCGCGCATTTAAAAATACCTTCTGTATCCTTTGCCAGAGCCATACCTGAAGCATATCCTCCATAACTCCAGCCCCAAATGGCGGTTCTTGAGGAATCAATGTAAGGTAATGTTTTTTGTAACAGTCTAAAAAATAACATTAGACACATGTACATGAGATGAGAACGCAATATAAGAATATACATGATAAGCACAAACATATAATAATAGGAAAATAGCAGACAAAAATTAGATGGAACAGAAAATTCTTTTTTTATTTACAACATTCTCGCATTAATCCTAATACAATTAGGAGAACTATGGAGAAATATGTAAAATACTATAATAACAAGCCAAAATTGTAAGATACTGCAACTATTATCACTTACTTTGTAACATTGATTTGGTCAATAACTTCAACAGTTCCCAAGTTTCTATATCCCGCAAATAACAGATTATCGCCACGTAAACCAGAGCCTCGCGCATCTATAGCTGCATAGATCACGCTTTTATTTGCAGCCAAGTAACTACCCCAATCTAAGACGAATTTATCCACAACTTGGTAGGTATCTGGTCCCCCATATCTATAAAGAGAAAAAATATAAATCAAAAGTTAGTTATGCCACTTTATTTTTAAACAAAGATAAACGTGCTAGAACTGGTATACTGGTATCATATTGAAGTAAGTGCCACATTGAGTTCAGTATGCAAAATGGTCTAAAGTCTTTACACAGAAAATGATTAATCACAAAGATAACAATGATTTTAGCATTTGTGTCTTTCTCTCTTTCACCTCCTTTCCTGGAGTCGTCGCATATTTCGTAGCACAGCGTTTTCCTACATCGATACCGAAGAAAGCATTATAAATAATGGAATACTCTTATAGTGTTTCATTCAGGAAACTTGAGCAAAGACACTGCCAGTCACAAAATTGAAGAGGATAATATTAAATGAACTTTCATGTTCGTTCTGCCATAAGCCAGTTAATTAAGTTATTATAAAATCATCTGGACGATAAAGATCTACAAATAATTACAAATCTATACTGGCATCAAGTGGCAAGAATAAAGGTTGAACAAGAACTGTCGGATGAAATAAATATAAAAAGAGGAGTGAGACAAGGCTGTATATTGTCGCTTTTACTTTTTAACTTATATTCGGAGGAAATATTTAAGAAAGCCTTAATGGAGACAACCGAAGGTATTATTGTGAATGGAGTAACCGTCAACAATATTAGATATGCCGACGATACCTTAGTCCTTGCCAATTGCGGAGAAGACCTTCAAAATCTAATGAACAAAATAAAACAGACTTGTGATCAGTATGGATTAAAACTCAACGTTAAGAAAACTAAATATATGATAGTTAGCAAACAAAATTATATACAGGATGACGGTATAAAAGTCGGAGATGCCACACTGGACAGAGTAGTGAAACTCGTGTATCCCGGCAGTAATATCAATGAGAGCTGGGATCCAACCGCAGAAATTAAAAGCCGAATAGAACAAGCCCGAGCTGCCTTTGTAAAAATGAGAAACATACTTTGCAGTCACGATCTTAGCATTGACCTTAGAGTTCGTATGACATCTTGCTACATCTTTCCTGTCCTGCTGTATGGAGTGGAAGCATCGACTCTAACTGAGGCTATGCTTAAACGCTTGGCAGCCTTTGAGATGTGAGTATACAGACGACTACTGAAAATAAGCTGGGTCGACAGAGTTAGAAATGAGGAGGTCCTTAGACGGCTGAGCCAAACAACACAACTGGTCAATATAATAAAGAAACGCAAGCTGGCATACTTCGGTCACGTTATGAGACACCCTGAAAAATATGATCTTTTACATCTGATCATTCAGGGAAAGATCCAAGGTAATCGTGGTTCTGGTAGACGAAGAACATCATGGCTGAAAAATCTAAGGCAATGGTATGGAAAATCAACTACATCGTTATTTAGAGCTGCTGTCAATAAAGTCACGATAGCGAATATGATAGCCAACATAATATCCAACGGTCGATAACGGTCATGGAACTAGAAGAAGAAGATAAAATCATCATCATTTATACATATTCAAAAACCAGCAGATTCGAAAATATATAAGATATGTGCCAAGTTAAAATATTATCTAGGATCATGCATAGAATTGACGTTGTAAAGCATGTTAACTCAGGAAGAAAACAGTTAGAGAGTTGAATTACCTCTATCTTAAATATAGAAATAAATATTTTATGATGACAAATGTCAATCATTAAAGAGACCTTTAACAGATATGACTGATTCTTTATATGTTTAAAATCAATATTGACGAAGTTTTTTCTTCATATCTTGTGATAAAATCGGATTTGATACTTTTATGCTTTTTCTTTTCACTCAGTTTGCAACTACTCCTGGACAATGTCCTCCCCAAAAGTTCTTCACTCTTCTCTGTTTTGTTCTATTTGATGCCAGTTTCTCCCGACTTTTGCTTTTGATGTCGTCTAGCGACTGTTTTTGTGATCTTCCTCTACTACGACTGTGATCGCGTGGTCTTCTGTGTACAATGTTATTGTCTTTCGTTGGCTTGATATGCCACGTATCCCACCCAGTTTCATTTCATTTGCTCAATTTTTCTAATTGCATTTTTCACTTACCACCTTATAACTCTGTAAGTATCACGATCTCCATTCGATAGGTCATAACTGGTAGAATACAGCTCTTTGATACACTTCTCTTTAGATTTATTGGTATCTTTTTGTTTTTCAACATAGCACTGAGTCTTTCTACTACTACCCAAGTGAGTCGGATTCTTTTAGTAATCTCTGCCATTTGATTTGATTGTTTATCTAGTTTGATCGTGAGACACTTTCGATCTCACATACATCTAAGTCTATTGTGATATTTTTTTATCACAATTTATTTTTTAACCAATTTTTGCAAATTCTGGTTAAGTTCCCTTAGCATGTACAGTAAGTAGTTCCTCTATAGTATTGTTTATAAGACTATGTCATTGGCAAATTTAAGATGACCTAAATATCTGTGATCGATGTATTTAGCTTGTCGTTAGATGTTTTGCTACGTTTAATTGCATATTTGCATTATCGTGCTATGTTAGGACCGTCCTATATCTAGAATCAATCTTTACGTATTTCATTTCTTCTAATACAGCCCAGGGTTCTATGGAATCTAATATCTCGAATGCTACAAATGCCAAATGAAGGGTTTTATTGTATTAGTTCCACTTTTCTCTAAGTGTCCGTACTGTCTGTAGGGTTTTTTATGGTATTACAACCTTTGCGAAATATAGCTCGCTCAACAGACTGGTAATTATTGAACTTATTTGTTAGTCTGTTGGAGCATAAATTTCAAAATATTCAAAATATTCTTGATAGCCACAGGTTTAGAGGAAGAAAACGATGCGAGAAAAGTAGCTTTATTATTGCACTATATTGGTACAGATGCAAGAAATATTTACAAGTCATTTGAGTTTAACATGGATACTGTAACATTTCAAGAAATTGTAGGGAAATTTGAAAAATACTGTAACCCGAAGAAAAATTTAACAGTAGAAAGACATTATTTTCTTACTAAAGTACAGAAAGATGGTGAAACCATTGAAGATTTCATGACTAGTCTAAAGAATTTAAGTTTAACATGTGAATTAGGAATTTTAAAAGAAAGTTTGGTGTGTGACATGTTCATTATTGGTTTAAATCCTAAATACCATTCAATTAAGCAAAAACTATTGCAAGAAGTAGATCTGAAGACAGAAAAGGTATTACAAATTGCTCAAAATATAATTACAACTCAAATGCAAGCACAACAGTTAAATTCAGAAGCAGTGGTATACAAAGTAGAGAAGAATAAAGATGGTCCAGGTCCAAATTTTTCAAATCATTCAAGGTATAGAAATGTAGTCCCAGGTCCAAGTTGGAGAAATGATAGTCAAAGGTACAACATAGATGGTACGAAAACAAACAGTCAAAGTCAGGTAACAAGTCTGAATTTTAAATCAAGATATAATAGATATGCAAATCAGAGTAGGAATAGTGAAAATAATCAAGTGGTAAGAAAAGTTTGTCAAAAATGTGGTGAAAATCATAGAAATAAATGTCCAGCATTAGTAGCTATTTGTCATTATTGTAAAAAACAAGGTCATTATGCAAAATGTTGTCAAACTAAAAGAGTAAATAATATAAATTTAAGAGAAAGTACAGTACAATCATCTAATAATGAAAATGATTAATGTTTTGTTATTAAAACTATTAGTTAGAATAGTATTAATCAGAATTGGTCAATTGTAGTCAGAATCAATAAAATAAATGTAGTATGTTATTTAGATACAGCTGCACAAGCTAATGTGATGTCAATAAAAATTTTTAATGAGGTTAATGTACAAAAGTTAGAACTGGTACCTACATGTATAAATTTAAAGTCTTTTTCAAATGATGTCATACCTATAGTAGGAAAAGTAAATTTGTTATGTGAAATTGAGAATAGGTTAGAAAGTATTGAGTTCATTATTGTGAATTTGGAGTGTCAAACAATTTTGGGTCTAGATACTTGTCATAAATTAAAATTAATTAAAAGAGTTGGTCTAGTAAGTCATGAGTCTATAATAGAGAAAAATAAACAAGTTTTTACTGGTCTAGGTTGTCTACCTAATGTATGTCACTTAGAAATTGATAAAAATATTAAACCTATAATAGAACCGCCAAGAAGAATACCTTTTTCCTTACATGATAAATTAAAAGAAGAATTAAACAGAATGTTGTCTACGGAAGTAATAGAAAAAGTCAATGAAGCAAGTGAATGGGTAAATTCAATAGTCTTAGTCGAAAAAAGTAATAAAAGTTTGAGAGTTTGTCTGGATCCCCGTAATTTAAACAAAGCTATAAAAAGATGTTATTATCCTATACCAACATTAATTGAGATTAGGTCAAAATTAGCAAAAGCAAAATATTTTTCAACACTAGATGCACAGTCAGGGTTTGGATGATACCATTAGATTTAGAGAGTTCTAAGCTGTGCACATTTAATACACCCTTAGGAAGGTTTAGATTTACAAGATTACCTTACGGTATAAGCTGCGCTCCTATATAAGATTTTTCATAAAGTAATGAATGAAATAGTAGGAGACATAGAAGGAGTTTGTTTATATATAGATGATATTTTAATTTATAGTGAAACTTTGGAAGGTCACAATAAAATACTAGAACTAGTACTAGAAAGAGCAAAACAATTCATTTTAAAATTCAATATGGACAAATGCAAATTTCTATTATCAGATATAAAATTTTTGGGTCATATTTTTAGTGCAGAAGGCATATGTCCAGATTCTAGTAAAGTAAGTGCAATTTGTCAAATGTCTATTCCTAACAGTGTACCTGATATTAGAAGATTTTTGGGAATGATTAATTATTTAGGTGAGTACATAGATAATTTAGCAGAGCGTACAAAAAATTTAAGGTTGTTATTGAAAAAAAAATATTAGTTTTCATTGGACAGAAGAGCATGAAAGAGAATTTGAGTCGCTTAAAGAAATGATTAGTCAAATGCCAGTACTAGCATATTTTGATAACAATTTACCTTTAACATTATCAGTTGATA